CAAAGCGCAGAGATTGGCCCAAAATGATCTTGGTTTCCGGTTCAATTTGAATAAGGGGCCGTGCCGGTTTTTATTGCCATGGTGACTTTGGGTAAACTACAAACAGTGCAATGCATTGTGGTTTGATGTCATATCACAAAAAAACGCAGGGTGGCCATAAGAGAACTAGGCGGGGAAGGTGTAAGAGGCAAAGGCCCAGGGAAGAAAGAACTGGGAAACGGACTCGAAAATGTTCCTTTGTCCAACTTAAGGCACGGAAGAATAGAATAAAATAGAATAGAATAGAGCAAGACAAATATGGTCTGGCTTCATTGCTTTTTATTAAAAACAGGACTTAATGTGCCAGACTTTGTCTATAACACCTCCTGCCCTGTTGCTCCTTCATGTTACACTGAGTACTGATATTCAGCATTTAAAATGAGCCCAAATAAGAACATAAAGGAGGTGGTTCTAAAATTTCAAGTGGGTATAAAGTTAAAAGGGGAAGGAAACTTTGTGGGATGAGGAAAGCAGTCTGTGGAGCGCATGTGAACAGATTTCAAAAACTGCCACATTTTTCAATTGGATTTATGTCTGGACTTTGACTTGGATGTTCGAACACTTGAACATACTTTAAACCTATAACCTTTGTAGCTTTGGCTGTATGTTTAGGGTTGTTGTCTTGCTGGAAGGTAAAACTCCACCCAATTCCATGGTGTTTGCAGACTCTAACAGGTTTTTAACCAGGATTGTCCTATATTTAGCTCCATCCACATTTCCATCAACATTAGAAAGCTTCCCTGTCCATGCTGAAGAAAAGCATCTCAACAATATCATGCTGCTATTACCATGTTTCACTTTGGAGATTGCCTGTTTAAAATGATGTTCATGTGTTCTTCACACATGGCATGTTGCATGGTGGTCATCTGACCAGATGAGTCTCCTACATGACATGTAGCAACCTGTAAACAGCACTTCTTAGGGCTTTTTTCAACAATAGCATTCTTATTGCCACTCTTCTATAATTGAGATAGTTTTTTCAGAGTGAGGTTCAGTGTTAGTTTCAATGTATCCTTCTGTTTCCTCTTCAGAGTTATCCACTTTGTGTTGGTCTGTCTTGTAAAATCACAATAGAATACATTGACGGTTTTGGTTGACAATGTGTGGAAAAGGTCAGGGAGAGTTAATACTTTTGCAAGGCAATTTAACACAAGCACCACATATCAACTATAAAGCATATAGGGGGAAAGCTGATCATTTGAGCTGGTTTAGCTACTACAGGACCTGCTAAACGCCCCCCTCCTGCTGAGCTGACCATAAAATATTCTGTAAACCAAAACAGAGTCAAGTATGAAGACATTGATCTGACTTCTAAAGCTTTGCCTAAACCCAGTCGTAGTGCTGCATAATAGCAGGTGTGGAAATCTAAAACAAAGTGGCTGAAAAACAAAAGCTTTTAAATTTTCAAAAGGCTCAGTCAAAGTCCAGACCTCAACCTGACTGAAAGGCTGTGATGCAAGCTTAAGAAAGCTATGCATAAAAAAAAGTCGACAAACTTCAAGAAATGAAGGAACATTTAAAAAACATTTTGTAACAGAATTTTCTTACATCAATAAGAGGTTCTTGGTATCATACAGATCATTATTTCATTTTATTGTTGCTAAAGATGCTTTAGCAAGCAGTTGAATCATAGGATAGGCTGGTATGAGATTCCCATTGTAAGGAAAAATATGTCATGCAATGTGAGGTTAAACCAGGACCAAATTGCAGACAAAATTCGGAAGCCACATGGTGAGTTGAAACAGAATTTAATAAGAGAACTGAGCAAACTTCCAGGGAAAACACAAGGTGAGCAGGACATGAGACAAGGGCGGCATAACAGAAGAATCCAGAAAGGACGAATGAAAACCAGGGCGCTTAAATACAGAAGTGGTGTGATTAGTGACATGGAATACTGATGAGTCTAATCAGGGGAATACTGGATAGCTGAGCGAGAGTAAGGAGCAGGTAACTGAGGAAAGGAGACTAATAAGCACAGAGAACACAGATGGAGCTGAACTACACACAAAGGGGTCTACAAGTCAAAAAGGGAAAGAGCATAACTCTAATATACGGTAAGAGAATAACCTCAATGCCCAGAGAACAGAACAAAATGAACAAGTAACAAAACACAAAGGAATGAACTTATGGTAACACCCTAGCAACAACAATAAAGAACAACAGAGAAATTAACTAAATATGGCAAGACATTACTAGCAATAATAGTCCAAGAAATAATCAGAAAACAAACACAAAAAACTAAAACCCAAACGCTATTGGATCATGACACAAAAACACAATTCGACTGTGTCACTGTATTTCAACATTTCTTTGAACCAAAATTGGTTATTATTATCTAATTCCTTTTATTTAAATTAGAAAAGCAGCATTATTCCTTTTTGCTAGAATCATTTAAAACATTGATTAATGCAGCTATAATAATCTATAACATTTAATAATTGCCATTTTAATTTTGATACATGGATGTAAGCAAGAATATAGAACACACAGCTGTTAAATGTCCTTTATGTGATGCATGGCACTCCTTTAGTTTCTACAGCATGACTTGCCTGTGATTGTAAGCAAAGACTGTAGGAAGCAGCTTTTTAGGTTGCCGAGCAACTCTGCTTTACTCTGGCCTCCAGTCAGAGAGAACTGCAGCACTTTTCTGGCATCTACTTAAAAGAATTTTAAACTTTAAAAAATTTACTTCTTTAAACCTTTGCTACTCCTGCATTTAACATGAATTAATATTTAATGGTCTGTGGTTTACCTGAGGTTAAGTTTGTTTAATTCTAATATTTAGTCAAGACCAGAGAAAATGAAAGAACTCAGTATTAACCAGGGCCACATCTCTGTGTCTGATTCTGTGATTTCCACCACATAGTCAGAACATTAGAGTCATGCTCTGAGTCAGAACACCGAACATTATTATTCCACCCGTACAGGGTGAAGACGTCAGCAGATGGTCTACATCAGCACCAAGGAGTCGAGAGGGCATCATTAGTTTCCATGGAAACAGTGACATGCTTAGTGACGCAGGTAAGATAGATGCAGGAAGGTGAATGGGTTGGGGCCGAAGCAGGATGGGCCGCTGGGCTTCTCTGCAGGTTAAAATAAGTGGAGCTGTAGTGGGTGTGTGAAGGGTGTGATTCAGAGGAGTAATCCATCCTGTAGTCTAATCACTGTTAACATGAATGATAGAAATTCTCTGAAGCTCCATGCAAAGTATATTTATGTATTTTCCCCAGGCCTGCCACACAGTCCAGAATGTGTGAGTCATTTTGCAGCCCAAGGGTGTGGACCTCTACGTGCACAGAGAATAAAAGGTGAGTTGTTCCTGTGAGATTTTATTAGGTTACCTGTGACTTGATAATAGCAAAGTGCAAAGAATAGTAGTCCTTTACACTCAGGTAATGGACTGTGTCTGAGCTTGTAAACAATGGTTCAATCTGTCCTTTATCTGTCCAATGTGATTTTAGCTCTCTCTCTAGAGAGAAAAAGTCGCTGGCTGTGGATGTGTAGTAACGCCCTCAGTTATATTCACGCCCTTTCAGTGCACACAGTGAAACCACTTAATAGCTTACCGGGAACACCTGGCATGGTGCTAAATGTTCACTGCTGGGTTGCCATGACAACCTCTTATTAACAGAAAGGTGCTTGTTTAGTAGCTACAAAAATCACATTCAGTGTTAATGTGGTGCCCACAGTTTTCTTAAATGTTTTTTGGTGGGTGTGTTGCACCTGAAATCACCTTGTGTTTCCTATTAACTGTGGTCCTTTTCCACATTGGCCTGAAAACCGTAGCAATCAAACCTCTTAAAAACCTTAATCTGGATGTCACAATCATAAGTAATAAAGCTCCATATCTAACCTTTATAACAGTTTTGACAAAGATCAATAAAAAGGGAGTTTATCAATAATTGTGCTCATTTGTGCTAAAAAGACAATCTTAAGTTCTTTCTAGGCAGGTTTTTGACCACATGACAGCATCAAGACTGTACATGCTTGAAATGACAACTTCTATGTTGGTATTACTGAATATTAGTGCTGCTTTTAAAACAGCTGATCATGAACTGTTAATAGACTCCATTGGATTGTGTGGTAGGGTGCTGTAAAAAAATCTGACTGGCCAAAGATCCAGTGGGGTTCCTCAAGGCTACATTCTATAATTTATGTTTCTCCTTGCTTAGATTATGCAGTGCTGCAACATCTATTACCATAGATATGCTGATGACATATAACTTTATGGTTCTGTGTTACCACATGACCACTGTCTCTTACAGTGACTTAGCGTGCCCATAATATCAATGAGTAAATGTGTCCAACTTTCCTCCAACTTATTTCAGAAAAGCCAAAGTTGTTGTTTCTAGCACCCAAAATGCAAGTTTGCAAGAAATCAGGCCTCAACTAGACTAGATGAGGCTAAAAACCACCAGAGAATGCAAAAAAAAGCTCTAATTATGGACACATAAATTCCAACATCTACATGAAGTGTGTTACTGAATCAGCATATGCCAAATACTGATTCTTGAGTCCTGGCCAACACCAGAAAAACAGATCATTAAATAGCTGTCCTTATATCACTGCACTGGTTCCTCATGTAAATGGGCATGATTGTAAACTCTTGTTTTTGGTTTATAAGGACCTGAAAGGTTGGACCAACAGTAAATATGTTTAGCGGTCATGTCAGATATTAACCATCTAGACTCATTGGGTCTCAGATCTGTTCACTCATTGTTCCCAGGACTAGAATTTTTTTTCCTAAAAAGGTAAAAAAATATTCTATCATGTCTTAGCTATCTACTTATGTTAAATCAGCATTTTACAGTTTCTTTCTGTTTGTATGATGTTTACATGTTTCTATTCTTTTACTATACACATTCCTGTATTGAATGTTTTTTTTTGGCACTAGTGGCCTTGGTTAAACAGGAATTTGACAAGAAAGAGGGTGAGGAAATAAACAGAAGACATGTAGTAAATGACCTAATCGGGAATCAAACCCAAGACAACCACGTCGAGGACTATAGCCTCTGCACATGGTGCATCTGCTCTACCAACTGAGCCAGTCAGTGCCCTAGTTCCTTTGAACTCTTTGAACTATCTTGTGTATGAATGGTTCTATAGAACTAAACTTGCCTTCCTTTTAAAATATCATCTTAATGCTTGCCTTTTACTCCCATTTTTTATTTTCTTTTGCTGCTTTTGGTTACAATGTTTTGCCTCAAAATGCTTGAACTAAAAGACAGTTTCACTCCCATCTCCTTTATCTCCTATCCCAGAATTATCCAAGAATCCAAGAATTATCCCTACTAACTGCTGATATTTACCCGTGATCTTAGAGATAAAATATTAAATGTTTCCACGTACCCCCTGCAATGCGCTCATATGCCGCTAGGGGTACGAGGTTGGGAATCACCGTTTAAATCACAGAGGAACCGTGGAGCACCCCCAGTCACCAGATGGCAGTATACTCATATTTAGTGTGTTGTTTTTTTTTTTTCTTTCTTTTCAGTGAACAAGGAGAGGACAGCAGAGAGAGCATAAACCACACTGTGATTCCTGGTCGGGCTCTCTTTATTATTCATCTATAACAGTTATTTTCACAGCATACGAAGATAATGGCCAATAAGAAAAAAGTAGTGGTGACAGGTGAGATGTTCTGATTGGTTTACAGGTGCAACACAGTTATATTTGTCAAGATGCGTGTATTTGATTTCTCTACAATGCTGTTGAATTAATATGCATATGAGAGCTGTGGTAAAAAGGCTTTAAGTGTTGTCAGGGCAACATAATTACAGGATGGCACAGCTTTCAAACATGGATACACATTAGATTTATTTCTCTGCTATTTCCTAGCTTAAATGTTAAAAAGTGAGAAAGAAATCAGCTGTCATGTGCCCCTGCCACAATTAATGTTTAACTTGAGGTAAACTTCAGACTCTGTGTTTACACTAACACCTCACACACGTCTGCATGGATCCGTCCTGTTTGTTCCTGCAGCTGCTGACAGCTCTCCTTTCTTTCCTGCAGGGTTTGAGCCCTTTGGGGAGCATGCTGTGAACTCCAGCTGGGTGGCGGTGCAGGTAATCTGTCATCAGGTTGTGTTTACTGAACGAGCGGCCAGCTGGCAGCATTTATGTGCACCCAGTTTATCTGAATTCGATCACAATTTATTCATCCCTGAAGGGGAGTAAAAAACAGACTGTTAAAACTGACAAAGTCGTGAACAAAGGTTTTTCAGTGATATGAATGTTTAGTTTTGTTGCTCTAGTATTTTTATTTATTTTACATATTTATATGCCATATTAATTAAATTATAATTTTTAAAACTGCTGGAGGTTTTTATTAGCAGATGCAGTTTTTTGCTCTGAGCTCATTTTTACAATATAGTGAAATGTGTTTTGCAACATTTAAGCAAATCGTTTCAGTCTGCATTATAATCTGAAAACAATGTGAATTTTCTTTAGAAAACAAGGAAGCTACAACATCTGCAGATCAGATCAGTCAGCAGAAAAAAAATATTTCTGAACAGGAGACAGCTCCACAGAATATCTCTAAATGACACAAAACTGCAACAGGCTGTCACTTTTGCAATTTTCAAATACAAAGAATTTTAAAAGTAATATGAGGTTTTCCTGTGTAGTCTTGTGGTGAGTGTGGCAGAGATGTTTTTGGATAACAGTAAAACTGTGTTTTATTGTTGGTGGACTCATAGGAACTGGAACGATTAGGACTGGGGGAGACAGTAGATCTTCATGTGTGTGAGTTACCTGTCGATTATCAGGCTGTTGAGAACATTTTGCCATCTCTGTGGAAAGAACATCAACCCCAGGTACTATAGGTTCAGCCAGAATACACTCATACACTCATATTTGTCATATTTATTTTGGGCTTTTAATGGAACATTTGAACTATTCCTTTTTCAGGGTGGAATCCCTCAAAGACCATACTAAATTATAAATACAGGCTCAAACATACATATACAGCCCCAGTAATAATAACAAAACACCACTCGGATTCAGATCGGGGAGGCCATTCCTCCCGATCACGCCTCTCCAGGTGTCACTGTCGTTTCCCACGTGGGCGTTGAAGTCCCCCAGCAGAATAATGGGAGTCCCCGGGA